CTATGAGTCGGTTCCGACTCGATGGCACCTGACAACAACAACATCTTTTTTGCAGAGGCTCTGCTCAGTGCATCTGTCTACTCCGTCATCTTGCCCCAGAAGTAACAAGATCCAATTTAAATTAGAAAAAGAAAAACATAAAAACACAAATAGCACAATCTCACAATAACAATGTAAAATGTGTATATGTGAGTCTATACAAACAATATCTTTATTCAAAGTTAGCATATATGGTGTATTTCTGGCGAGATAGTTAATATTTTATTTCAAGATGTTCTTTTTTGCTAAGTAATCAACAATTCAAAATTGTAATCAAAATTCTAATTCCAAAGGCAATTTTTAAAATGGGTTTAACAAGCAAAGTAATGAGCATATAAATAATCAAGAAAATTATGAAATAGAAGAAAAATAATAGAATTTATGCCAAAAAGCTAAAGCTACAATAATTAAAATATAGAAAAACAATAACAGAATCAGTGAAATAAGTGCCACAATTGACAAATATACTAATGTGAATGCTGAAGTTTAGTATATATTATGATGGCATTTGAAATGAATGGGATAAGAATGTTTAACCTTGAAATTAGAACAAATAGATAAATATTTAGGGGAAAAAAGTTTCATACTAACTCACAAATATAAATTCTTCTAAAATAAATTCTAGATGTTTTGAAGGTCTAATGGTAACAAAGAAAAGAAAATAGTAGTCTTATGTCAAGCTGTCCATTCCAGATTCATACTCCTCTTGTTTTCCAGCCCCATTATACTTTTAGGTGTGGTGTCTCATTGAGTTTCAACAGCCATTTGATTCCATTATTTGCTGCAACAGTTTTTGCCAAGAGCAATAATTTTCTCATTGACAAATTCAGTAGCTTTTTATCGACACATAAAACGCTGAGTCATTTAAGAATTCCTTCTTGGGAAGTCTCTTCTCTTGCTACGTAGGACACCACTTTTATTCAACATCTTCTGTGTCTCAGGTACTTGTTGCTCAAGGCTTGACCCTTAGTAACACTGGTTCTATCATGAAATCCTTCCTGCTATGTTTCTGTGATATCAAGTCTCATTTGGTACTGCACTTTAGAATTACCATTTTACAAAATATGTGAATTGCCTCCATCTTTGTCACCTACGTGACCTGTAGTAGGGACAGCAACCTGGCTTTTAATATAGATCTTTTAAGATTCCAGTGCATACACTTAGTTTTCTGATTTGAGAAGTAGGCACATGTCCTTGAATGTGTCAAACTTATACTGTCATTTACTTGTAAATAACTTGTGAATCTAGTTATCAAATCCACATCTTTCTCTTAAACTTTAATGACTCATCTGAAAGGACATTTATTAAGCAAATAGCAATACCTAGACACTCTATTCTATATTATCAGTGATAATATAGAGATCAACAAAGCAACCACAACCATTACTGCCATAGAGTTAATGATCTAATGGGGGATCCGGACTTTAAGGAGATAATTACACAACTTCCTTATAGGAGAAATATCCCACTGCTTAAAGAGCAATGTACACTTTTTAGCGTGCCTAGGAATCACTTGGCTTGTTACAAATGGGATTCCTGAGATTGACTATCTCATCACTCCTGTATTGAGAAATAGAAATTTAACAAGCAACCCAGGAACCTATTCAGATCATAATATGCAAAAATCAATCTACATTAAAAGTCTAAATGGTTACCAAGGCATCATCAAACAGTGAGTGTCCCAGACCTCCTTCACTTACCTTTATCTTCATTTCCAAGCAATATATCCCACATTGTTGTTGTTAAGTGCCTTTGAATCAATTCTGACTCAAAGTGATCCTGTGTAGGGTTTCTGAGGAGCAGCTGGTGAACTTGAACCGTGGTTTAAACTGACTTTGCAGCCCAGCTCATTAACCCACAGGACTTTTTATATCTTGTTTTGGCTCTTTCTTTCTTTTTGTCTCTCAAAGAATAATTGTACAAGTATGCATTCTTGTTTAATTAATTTATTAGTATGTCAGACTTGGGAAGTAGGGACTATGCTTTTCTCAGCTATGTTTCCATTTTATTTCTTTATTTTTAATCAAGGTACCTTGTTTTGAGTAGGAGATGCATTGGATGCATGCAAGAAGAAAGATGCAAAAACAAGAGAAGGAAGCAAAAATGAATGGACGAATAGCCAACTAAGTCTCCTGAAAAATTGTAACCTCTCAAAAGATTATCTTGCAGTTATTCTCCTGAGAGCCCCTTTGACATCTTTGTTCCTCAGACTATAAATAATGGGGTTCAACATTGGAGTCACTGCAGAGTAGAACACAGAAATCATCTTGTCTCTTTCATTCATTATCTTGGAGTTTGGCCTCATGTAGGCAAAGATGGCTGAGCCATAGAAGAGAACAACTACAATAAGATGGGAGCCGCATGTTGAGAAGACCTTGAGCCTCCCTTCTCCAGCCTGCATCTGGATCACAGTGGAGATAATATTCCAGTAGGAGACAAGAATGAGGGAGACAGGAGCTAGGAGAATCACCACGCCCATGGCAAAGATGGCCATTTCTGTGCTGTAAGTGTCTGCTGATGCCAACTTCAGAAGGGCAGGAGGTTCACAAAAAAAATGGTTAATGATATTGTTTCCCCTGTAGGGCAGACGCAATGTGAATGTGGTGTCCACCAGAGACACGAATGCCCCGCTAGCCCAGGATCCTATAGCCAACTGGACACAGACCCAGTGAGTCATGATGGTGGAGTAGTGCAGGGGCTTACAGACAGCCACATAGCGGTCATAAGACATCACCGCCAGCAGCGCACACTCTGTACAACCAACTAAAAGTAAAACAACTATCTGCATTGAGCATCCAGCAAAAGAAATGGTTTTCCTCTTTACCAGGAAATGGACTAGCACCTGGGGAACTGTGGTAGTAGAAAAGCAGAGATCAGCAAATGACAAGTTTCTAAGGAAAAAGTACATGGGTGTGTGGAGTCTGGAGTCTATGTGAATAAGCACAATGATGAGCAGGTTTCCCAGCACAGTCAGCAGGTAGATGATCAGAAACAGGAAGAAGAGCAAGACTTGGGTCTGTGGATCCTGGGAAAGGCCCAAGAAAATAAATTCAGTCACAGATGTTTGATTCTCTTCTCCCATGAATGTTTATTTCTGCTTAGAGGTGAGCACCAAGAAAAGAAACACATAGTGATAAGTTATAAAAAACTATGAGTAGCTTAGATGTTTTACCAACCTCTCTCCAAAACTAAATAAATGATTTCCACCTCTAAACAACATCCATGTAAAAGACTAAATGTGCTGCATGTTCAGTAGTTTAGTGGTTCTGACCTGTCCTTGAATCTTTAAGTAGTATCAGCCTGGAAATCATGCTTAATAAGCCTTAAGACCAAGTCTCAGTTGAAGAATTAATTATTTATATTCCTGAGAAGTCTAAAGAGCTGCTTACAATGCATCTGCCCTATTATGCACGTTTGAGTAGCGGATGAATTGGTGTTGCTATACAACAGTTATATTTTTATCCTATTTATAAAGGTTGATTTCCTTTGATAAATTTGCAAAATAATTCTAAAGAATTATACTAAGCAAGTGATAGGAAGTTAAGATAAAACATGATATAGTAGTCTGTGATGTAGTAGACTGTGTCCATAATTTTCTGTCATTTATTTTAAACTTCAAGAGGATGCTGGGTAGTATCAATAAAATAGCTGCCTCATTGTTATTGAACGCAGTAGTAATATTCCCTGATATTAACATCCTTTACACTTCTTGTATCTCTCCTTGCACAAGATCTTATGGCAAAAAAATGCTAATTATCATCTCCTAAACATCCTCCGGATGCCAGTGACATGGTTATTGTTTTTAGATGTTGTCCAGTCAGTTCTGACTCACAGTAGCCCTATTTACAACAGAACAAAACAATGCCAAGTACTGCTCCAACATCGTAATTATTGCTATTTTGAGTCCATGGTTATATAGCCACTGTGTTAATTCATCTCACTGAGGGGCTTCCTCTTTTACACTCAATCTCTACTTTACTGTCCTTCTTTAGTTACTGGTCCATCCTGATAACATGTCCATAGTACATGAGATGAAGTATGGCCACCTTAATGTCTAAGTAGCATTCAGCTCTACTTCTTCCAAGACAGATTTCTTTGTTCTATCTTAGAAGAAGAAGTCCATGGCATATATATACATATTTGCCAATATCGTAATACAAATGCATCAATTCTTCTTCAGTCTTACTTATTCTTTGTCTAACTTTCACAAGAATATAAGGCAATGGAAAATGCCATGATTTGGGTCAGGTGGACCTTAGTCCTGTCCTCAAAGTGACATCTTTTTTCTTTAGCACTTTAAAGATTTTTTTTTTTTTTTTGCAGTAGATTAACTGCTACTTTCATAGGCATTGATTGTGAATCCAAGTAAAATTAAATATTTGACAATTTTAATCTTTTCTCTGTTTATCATGATGCTCATTGGTCCAGTTTGTGAAGATGTTTGTTTTCTTTACATTGAGTTGTAATCCACACGGAAGGATGCAGTCTTACATCTTTATAGTGCTTCTAGTCCTCTTTGTTTTCAGCAATCAAGGTTATGCTACTTGCATATCTCAGGTTGTTAATGTGCCACCCCCCATCCCACCCCCCACCCCCCAGTCCTCATGTCAATTTCTCCTACATATAGCCCAGCTTTTGGAATTACTCACTCAGAATACCGATTGAACACACATGGCAAAAGGATACAAACCTGATGTACACCTTTTCTTGATTTTAGGCTACACAGTGTCCCCTTGTTCTGTTCAAATGACTGCTTCTTGGTCTATGTATAGATTTTGCAAGAGCACAATTAATGTTATAGAATACTCATTCTTAGTTTATTATGGTCCATACAGCTGAATGAATGTCTTTGTATAGTTGGTAAAACATAAGTGAACAACTTTCTGGTATTCTGTGCTTTCAGCAAAGATTTATCGATCGATGCCAGCAATGATATTCCTAATTCCACAATATCTTCTGAATCCAGCTTGAAGTTTTGTAAACTGCTATTTTTGTATTACTGCAATAATTTTTCAATTATCTTCAACAAAATTTTACTTGCTTGTGATAGTAATGATATTGTTCAATAATTTCCACTTTCTATAGGGTCAGCTTTCTTTGTAATGGACACAAATGTGGATTTCTTCCAATTGGTTGGCCAAGTAGCTGACTTCCAAATTATTTGGTAGAAATGAATGAACACCTCCCTTGCTGTGTCATTTTATTTAAAAATTTTAATTGGTATTCTGTCATTTCCTGGAACCTTGTTTTCTGCTAATACCTTCAGTATAGCTTGAATTTCTTCCTTCAATACTATTCTGCCTTCAATACAATGTCATATACTAATTTCTGATTCACCACTGTTTTGATTTGACTGTAGTTTCTGGATTACATCAGTAAATCTAAACTCATTCCCAGTTATGATTCATTCCATAAAATCACTTTGATCTTGATTAAAAGATTGATGAAAAAATCAGCTCTTTGAGCAGCTGATCTTCATGAAATGCTTTAGGTCACCATCTAGCCAAATGGTTGCTGAGAACAAGATGTTCACTTTAAAATTTAAACGCTAAGTGACGTGAGATCCCAACTTCAGTACTTATGGTTTTTAATGGTAGTTTTACCATCTTCTTCCACCAGTTTCTTGACTTCTGTCAGAGTTACTTCATTTGTCAGCATTGATGGTTGTTCCTCTCTTGGCTCATGTTTGAGGACTTCCTGACCTTCATTTTTTGTTGTTATTGAGTGCCGTCAAGTTGGTTCTAACTGATAGTGACACTGTATAAGGTTTCCAAGGAGTGGCTGGTGAACTTGAACTGCTGACTTTGCAGTTCAAATCAACTTTGCAGTCCAGCACATTAACCCACAGTACCACACCTTCTGACCTTCATTAAAAGGACTGATTTGTCTAAAAATTGTTGTTTTATGTGGAGCAGCATTCCCATAAACTTGTTGCAAAGCTTCAGTTATTGAGGAAGATGTCTGTTTGACTTTTGTTAAAAGTTTCATATTATTTCTGACCTCAAATTTTTCCCCCCAATGGCACAAAAGTATCCTTTCCTTAGGCATTTAATTACTGATAGAACTTGTTGGTAGCTATTCACTGATCCCAGAGACATGCTTAAACATGGTTTTTTTGGAATAAGCTTGTGCATGTATGAACTAGAAACCTAATAACAATACTTTTGACTTACCCTCATTTTAAGAAAAGAAAAAACATTATTAGTAAATAATTTGATTACATATCTAAAACTTGAAATAAATGTACTCTGATACAAGATTAATAACTGAATATTCTTGTGCTATTGTATACCAAAAATGACTTAATAGAAATTTTAGTTTAAAAATTCTTCAAAAAGGAATAATACTTAAATTTAACAAGATATACACGTAAGAAATATTCACACTTATTTTTTAAAAAATGTATGAAACATTATGCTTAATAAATTATGAAGCACAGTAATTTTATCAACAGGACAACTCAGTCTTATGAACATAGTATCTCTCAAATTAGTCCATAAATCCACTGTAATTCTAACCCGGTCAGGAGGTCAATACCCTGTGGGCCCAAGTGTTGTTGACC